CCTGCAACCCAGTAATGTGCCTTTGGTAATCAAACTGTGACTTCCTGGTTCGTAGGCACTCAACCACTGAGCCACACTAGCCAGGGCCTGGACTTTTTTCTTTTATGTCAAGTGCATGGTGGTGAGAATACAATGATTAGGTACAGTTTGGTGTCACTGTCCAGATTCCTGCTACAGTGCGGGAGTCTTACCCACCACTGCTTCTATACAATGAGAGAGATATTTACACGGTGAGAAGGCAATGCATGTCTTCGTGCTCATGAGAAACAGTTTGACCTTGCAGACCTCCCAAAGGGCCTCAGGGACACACAGGCACCTGCAGATCACACCTTGTGAACTGCTGAACCAGCACGAGGCATACAGTATTTGTTTTTAAAAAATATTTTTATTGATTTCAGAGAGGAAGGGAGAGGGAGAGATAGAAACATCAATGATGAGAGAATCATTGGTGGGCTGCCTCCTGCATGCCCCACACTGGGGATTGAGCCCACAACCTCCTGGGCTTCTGCCCTGACCGGGAACCAAACCTCTTGGTTCATAGGTCGATGCTCAACCACTGAGCCAAGCAGGCCGGGTGAGACAACCAGTATTAACATCAGCTATTGCTAGAAACAGGTAGGGACCCCTTCAGCTTCTAAGTCTAAGGCACAGGAAGGCTTGGTTCGGGTCCTGGGCAGATGGAAGGCCATTCGCTGGGCCTGGTTCATTTAAAACAGACCCGCCCCGCAGCCCTTTTCTGGGAAGCGCTCACACATTCGCTGGAGCAGACGGGGCCAGAACTGACCCTCACTCATGCCCACCTGGATGCTGTGTGAGGTGTGCTCCGGGGAACTCAGATGGAAACCAGGGAGGTTCTGGAGGAGAGAAAGTGGGCCAGGACTTCCTTCGGCAGATTGTGGGAAGGGCACTTAAATTGTGGGCTCTGACATTATGCTAAGTGAAGTAAGCCAGTCAATGAAGGAAAAATACCACATGATCTCACTCATTCATGGATAATAAAGACCATTATAAACTTTTGAACAATAATAGATACAGAGGCAGAGCTGCCTCAAACTGATTGTCAAACTGCAGTGGGAAGGCCAGAGAGGGTTGGGGGGCAGAAGGGAGGGGAGTAAGAGATCAACCGAAGGACTTGTATGCATGCATATAAGCATAACTAATGGACATAAGACACTGGGGGGTAAGGGAGGGCAGGGGATTGTCAAGGGCGGGG